TGAATCACAGTTAATGGGCGAACATCGATTTCATATTGAATTCGAATCAAAGGTAACCCAATGGTAATATGTATGGTAGATGATTGTACTAGATTGCAAATCGTTACCACTCATTCTACACTTATTCTTACCATGACAGTTTTCGATAGTACCCATAGGTAAATCAATTACTTATCCATCTAGACTTCTCAAAGTGTCTAGAGGCACCTCACGAACTGGCCTATGTCAAAAATAGGAGAAAAGCCGGCAATATGATGCCTAGGCAGTAATTACCTGTAGATAGAATACGGAAGGCCATCCAAGTGACGTCTCGCAGAGTGCACCCGCCACGGGCATCGTGAAAATAGAACAAAACTGCAAAAATGCTAAAACATTATTTTCTCTTTTTCTTATCATTTTTGACTTGATTTATAGTTACCTGTATATGGCATGAAAGTATAGCAACAAATGTGCCAGCGGATTTTGTTGTTGACCATTGTGAAGCTACGAGACCAGTCAGTGGAGAGGATAGTGATGTTCCAATGCCCTAAAATTAACGTATTCCTTGGGTAGTTAGCTGATCATGTAAAGTAGTTACTTTTAGCCATAGTATTTCCATTAGAAGCTCAATTTCGCTTAGTAGAAGGTTGCGAAGGTTGATTTGTAAGTATTTTGGGGCTTACGGGAATCTGCAGTATGCTGTAGATCGCGGGTGCAAGGTGATAGGCTAAGGGTTTGCTGTAGACGAGCTATAGGCAACCGGTCTCATGAATCATTATTTTTTTGGAACTTGGGTTGTTTTCAGCGATTTTCAAATGTCATACAACCATCGACATGGAAGGCATCTTTCATAGTCCACGACCGGCCGCGCGACCGATCGCGCGACCGGTCGCTAGCGACTGGCGACCAGTCGCGCGACCGGTCGTGGACTATGAAAGATGTCAAGCGAATTCAAGGGTGGTACTGTTTTGAACACTTCACATTTTTTGACATAAATGCTATTGGAAACCCTTGACACATTGGTTATTGAGTGAGTCCACGTTATGGAAGGTTCATTAGCACTCATCCCCAATTATAAGCTGATGGAGCTGTTTTGGTTTCACAAAGAGATTCATAGGGAAAACCAGAGATTTCGAACATATCGTAGTTCCTTCAACTAGCGCGTTTAGAACGTAGGTTCGTTTTTCTCAATAGAATAATTTTCATCTGTAACTAGACGAAAAATTAGATTGGCTACTGGTAACATACCTGTAAAACCCTCATGATAAAAACTGCCACGAACCCTGTGCGTACGGCAAACGGAAAAGCCAACGTAGCAAACGTTGACAGTGCTCCGTAGGTTGTCATTGTACCCCTAAAGATGTTCTAAATGATCGTAAGCTGTTTAATCTAATAAATCTCACTTCTATACATAATTTTATGAAAATCACACTATTTTTTTTGTTTCAATGGAAGTAGATATTCATTTTTTTCATAAAGCTCGTCGTTAAAGTCAATGCTTCTTCGAGTATGGGTATACCAACTTTTAGATAGAAGTGTTAGGCATAATATGCGAAATTCATATATGAAGTGGCCAAAGATTTCCTGACAATGGGCGGGCCTATGTTGTTGTGGGCGGCGTTTGCTCGCTTTGTGGTGCTCCAGCCGAAATATCCCTTTTGCGTGGGTGAAGTATGCCTCAAAAAGGATGGCGCTTTAGGCAAAATTTCGGTGTTTGTTGTCAACGACATGCTCTTCTCTTCCTACGGAACCGGGAAATTGATCTTAATTGCAGCAAAGTAAGGGGTTTCACGACTAATCGAACTGGGCGTGCAGCCTACCTAACTGAGGCTCTGCGGAAGGACCCACCCCAACGAATTGCATTGTTTACAAAATATTTCCTTAAAATCTACAACTGTCCATTTGCATACGATTTGGGTAATTTTCAGTATTGATATTGAGAAACTTACCATACGCCTATTCGATGTATGAGAAACGGTCCTGGAATGGTGCCGATGAGACAGCCAATAGCAATTGCTGAGAATAGCGAGTTGATACGTGCACTAGATTCGAGCCAATGTGGTGCTGCTGCAATTGTGGTGAATTAGTTCGTAAGTTGGGAGATAGTACAGGAATATCGTTGTGTCTAGCGCTCTATTGGGTGTAGGAAGCTCCGCCTATTCTAGGTAACTCCGCCCACCATCATTTTTGACGATGACTGTTCCGGTTACAGTCCATCGATTCAGTTCATTGAATGGAGAACATTGATGTGTCAGTCACATTCAAAAACATGTTCGAAAGGCTTACCATCGCTGGTGTTTGCTGTTTTCTGGTAGTATTCTGATCGAACATCATCCATGCAGATTATCGTAAAGTTGAAAGCGATACTGTTTGAGAAAATCAATGTCAGGCCAAGTAACGACAGTGCCAGGATGACATACCGAGTCTGATTGCAACAATACATCTGAAACAAGAGGAATCAAGGGAATCAAGGAGCACCTGGTGCTCAGCTGATTCGGAAAGCGATGAGATACGATGGTATTTGGGGAACCACTTGAAAGACATGGTGAATCGGGTGTTATTTGTTCATGAAGGAAAGTGCTTCTTGGCAATTCATTATCGATAGTCCAATAAAAGCAATTATTGGCCAAAAAAGTGTAAAACGAGTCTCGTAAGCAGAAAAGGGAGCTTTATGAATTGATAAGAATAAAGTTGCAGGAAAGGTAGTGGGTAGTGAGCGCAGAGCGGTCTACTCCTATGAGTTTTTCCGCTGCCGACGGTCTATTCTCTATGACGTATTAAACAGTAAACAGTAGAGAATACACCGTATACCATTAAGTTAAAGCGTTGGCTTGTCGATTTGATCGTTGGTGTCATCGATATGTTTTGATCAATCTTGGAACTTGTGACTGTGATAGGAGGTTCGGTAGGCAAGACCGACGGCCAGGCGAACCGGAAATTCTGTCCCCCATGCACTATTAATCTGATACGGTTTTGTTTGTTATAACACTTGCACTCTGCATATTAAACCCACTCAGTGCATTCGCAGCTGTTTGACTACGGGCTGGGGTAGTACTGGGTAAGCACGTGCTGAGTGTAAAGCATGTGAAGGATAAGTGGAGCCCATGAGAAAGAGGAAGGCTGTATCGTTACTGCTGCGTAAATCTGATGAAAGGCTCAATTTAGAAAGCTGTCCACTTTCGGAAACAGAGCAGAAGGTCCCGGAGTCCGGCCCGGTACAGCAAGTTTTTTGAAAAATGTAGCTGATTATGGGTTATCCCGGAAAAAGCATAGGATTGAGAGGCTTAATGGGTAATACTGATGTGCAGAGCTCTACCTCGAGATAGAAACAGGGGTTTATTTCAACGTATGAAGTTGCACTTGTAGGTAAGCCNTCAATGAAGAACAGTAAGGAATGCTTGTCGATTAGTGATATCTCTAGTGTTTTGATATCAGTACGAGATGAAACTATGGTGGCGTGCACAAAGAGACGTAAATTTGACATATACGACCCGATAAGACCCAATTGAAACCCAGGGTCAGTATATTGAGAGTTTTCAGAAATGATGTAGACATGACGGTGGAAACTACTTGTGATCGGGGAAGGAAGAGTAGGTATGGGTTGTCTTCCATTCGAAAGCTCTTAACCCCACTCAGATCTGAAGATAGGTAAGAAATAGTAAATCGAGGCGATAAAGAAAACCTCCAGCAATTCGTAGTTTTGTTTTAGAACAAGCCTTTTCATTAGAGTGGGATTACCAAGGTTTGAGGTATTGCGTTGATGCAAGTCTCGTAAATATGTTCCCGAGTGGCAGTCTACGCGCAAAGTTGAAATGAATTGAAGCAGCTGAAGTTGGCATTTCCAGATTTGCCGCCTTTCGATCAATTGCATGATGCTATAATCCAATGTTTTGACGGAATTATGTCCCTCTTGAGCTAATTAACAATGTTCAAGTTATAATTCCTTTCTTATAATTATACTAATGAACTGGGGATCATATTGGAGCGAGAGCTGGGATCAAACCAAAAATGAATGGCCAAAAACTACGTCAAACTGCATTTGCAGAGCTTGCGAGAACTTCTGCCTTTCTTATGCTCTGTCGCTCTAGTGGTAAGTATGACAAATCGATGTCTGTAGAAACATGGCATCTGAAGTGTCTATTCCTAGATATTACAGAGGAATAAAATAAGTCTAGCCCTCGATATACAGAAAGAACAAAATGAAGGGATGGATCATCCCAAGCAGAATAAAATGGATAAAAACAGGCATTTAGAGGCCACGAAGAAACAGTTGAACGATTATTCTGGAAAATAAATGATATGCAAGAAGACTGTTTTTGCCAAGAGCGTTTTCATGGAGACCTTTCGACAAAGAAAATATGTAGAGCGAAAAAAGCGCTCGATGAGCAGTTCACTGAGCTGCGAGAAACTTTACAACAAGAACGCGGTGATGCGATCACAGAAGTAACACAAAACGATGATGTCCGATCACCGCCGATTGATGAAGAAGCGAAAGATCTCAGCTTCAACAAAGGATAAGGGGAAAGGCCAAGACAATGGGAAGTGTTGAGCACTTGAAATCTCTTCAGCGAGACGTCGTGGAAATCCCGACACAAAAAAGAATCGATTTCGGAAGTAATGAGATGCTATGTCGAACGAGACCTAGCTGCGGTTCAGAAGGGACTTGTGAACATCCAACCCACACACTTGCCATCCACAAGATTATAAAGTGGGAGTTTTCCATAATGACGGAAAAACTATGTCATGCGCGTTTTGCAACATGCGAGGACATCATTATTCCGATTCGAGCAGGGCAGAGGCGATTGTATCGAAGCGAGAGAACCTCTCGAAAGGCAATGCCGCTGCAATCGTTGTGCTCGAGGATTAAATACTAAGACGGCTTCGAAGCGAGGTAAGCCTTGTTACCACTGCAGAATAGCCGGCCATGTAGTGGCACCTAGCTCACTACTTTCCAGACCATGAACATCCCTTCCTCCCCATGAACGAGTACAGTAATCTTCCTGAATGCACAGGGTGATAATGGAAAGTGTTGCATGGAAAGAGTTCGTTAGAGATAATCACGGTAAAGGAGCTTCGCTAGCTCTTGCCTTAGATAGCAATAGCTCAAGTGGCTTAGAAGTGTGTGGCCAGAGGAATATTTCTCAAACTTAATTGCGGTTTATACTACTTTCTTTGAGGGTATGGGATTTTTGCCCTCTTAGTGAAGCGATGTTGTCCGCTCAGCTGTTTCGTAAAATCGCAAGAAATCGCGCATTCCTTGGTGTCCCGTTTGCTCAAAAAGGTGCAAAAGGAGCAAAATGTGAAAAACAAGTTACACTTATCAGTAGTTGAGTAAGATAGTGAGAAAACAACCATATTGGTACGTCCGCTAGATTCTAACCAGTGTGGTGCTGCTGAAAGTACTAAAAATTAGTGAGAAAGTTGGTGCTAACAAAGAAATGTCACTACAGTGTCTCTATTTTTCTACCGACCATAGGAAGTGCCGCCCACGATAGATAGCTCCGCCCGCCAACAACTATGGCAGCGACTGTTTCGGTCACGTTTCGTCCACTTCAATAAGTGGACAGCGTCGGTACCCATTGTACTTGGAGGCTATGTTCGGAGTTTGTTTCTGTGTTATAGTATTCGAATCGAATGTCATCCATACAAACTACCGTAAAAATGAAGCAGTAAAGGTTGAGGATATTAACGTGAGACCAAGTAACGACAAGAACAGCATGACATACCGAGTCGGTTGCAACCATACAACCGACACGGTATGTCATGCTGTTCTTGTCGTTACCATAATCTGCAACAATCGGAGAAATCTATTAGTTCCTGGAGTTGAACTCATTTAAAGAACGATATATACGACGGCCATGAAGAACTTCTTGATGGACATGGAAATTCGAATGTTAATTGGGTTGAAGTATATGTTTGCAATACTTACTGTGACACTTCGAGGATCGCTCTAAATTTCATTTTCGATCGTCTTCAAAATCTCGCACTTTCATTTGTCTTCGACACTACTGAAATTGACCAAGTGGCCTATGATTCAGCGAAGTGAACAAAGAACGGAATCGGCATTACTTAGGAGGTTGTGGTGGTACGTTACCCCCACCGCCGAAGTAATGCCGATATTTTTGGAAAATTATCGCTTTCTAGCCTCTAAGATAACACATAAATAAACTCCTACTAGCATAAGTCGTCCCTCTCCTTTTTTTATGACTCTTTTTAAAGTTACTTGTTTGAAAGTTGGCGTGACTCCTTTCCGCGGATCTTTTCCGCGGAGATCTTTTGCGAGCTGTATCATTGCGGCCCTCTGTATTATCATCTTTTTTGTTATGGAGGATGAGTCTATTTCTTCTTTGATTTGTGTTGTTGTTGTTTAATTGTGTAGTTATACTTTATTGGGAGGGTAGCTACTAGTCAAAGCAAGTCAAAAAAACTATTTACATGAGCGAGGAATGGCCGTATCAGATTCTCAACACTCTTTTTCCCCGTGTAAGTTGCTTTGATCCTCTTGGATGCAAAAGATGATAGCAGGGAGAGTTGATGAGTAGAGTTTGCAAGAGTTAATCGTAGAGAAGACTTTTACTAGAGTTAGCCTAAGAAAGCCCCGATTTCTTATGGAAATGTCGCTGAAAAAAGAGGAGCGTGACTTTGACTGGTCCCTATGTATTTATACCGTTTTCTTCGAGAACTCAATACCGGGATGTCTTACTGCGACCCTCTTAGTAATGCCGATGTTTTGTTCGTTACCGCTGAATCATAGGGACGCATGTCGACTGCCTATTCTGAAAGTATGAGAGACGACTTGAAGTTCCTCCCCTGCACGAACTCGCGATAACCGCGTCCGGTAAAAGAGCTACTAACTATCGGGACTAATCCGTTTACAAACTGTCCATACTATCCATCAAAAGCAAAGGTTGCTACTACTCCTTGAGATTGGCATCTCTGCGTAAATAAAAGAAATGCAGAAAGAAATTGCTAGAAGATAAGGTTCCTCGAGCTGTACTGCTGGGCAGTTCATTAGAAAGTACTTCAACAGTAACATCAATACATCTATGAGAGTTTTGAAATGCCTATCTGTTATGAAGACTTCTCAGTAACTCTCCTGCATTAATGAACATTCTGGAAGTTTTTCAAAAGTGCAAAGAGGCGCAAAAGCCAATTTTTTTATGTTTTAATGCTTTTTTTTTCAACTTTTTTGTGTTTTGGCTAGCTGACTAACTGCTAACTGCTAACTCGAATTCCGTTTTTTGGTACTGTAGGTTTAGGCACGTTCATTTTCATCCTCGGCTTTCTTTCTTTTCTTATCACACAATAACAGAAATATAACATTTTTATTAATTCAATAAATATTAACTTGATTGCGTCGATTCGATCTTCCCGTCTTCTCTTCTAACTCCTGTAATCGTTTCCGGTAGCGCATGAATCTAAAAACGTTGTCATTTTTATTACAAGGTGAAAAATCTGAAGCAAAATAAAATAAGAAAAAAAGCAAAAATCGAGCAGTTTTCGGGAATTTGTTGGCACTAGCTGCAGGACCCTTTATTCTTCCAAACTCTTCATTACTGCCCACTTTTCAAGCCAAGAAATGTACTAACCTTATTTCCTGTCCATGGTGCTGGTTCGCTTCTGGCGAGAAACACGAAAGGCGTACTGAATGCGATAACAACTATACTTATTCCGAAAAACAAGCGCGACCACTGAAAATAGACCTAAATATAAGGTCGATGTGAATTACGGCTTGCGACGATTATGTGCTCATTGTCGTTGGCATTTCAATCGAAAGTTCTCAAAGGGCTTGCTGTCTATAGAGCTTTCTTCTGTCGTCCTTGAAAGTGACGCGTGTAATGCATCAGCAGTGAGAGCTGGTCCACAAGGAGGGCCTGTGAAAGACAGCTCCACTCCATTGAAATAGGGATGCTAATATAGGGGTCCCGATAGACAGATTGATAGAGCTCAGGGCTTGTCACCAAGTCAATGAAGTCTGAAGATCTTCGCGCTTATCAGAAGCCTTCATATAAGAAGATGCATCGATAGGGATGACACGAGGCTAAGGTCCTACTTTTGATTGAGGTTGATATAAGGTATCTGGATCATGAAAAGTCCCACTTTCAGCGAGAAATTCATAGTTCCTTCAAAGGGACACTTGCACCCTCTCGGAGCAGAAGAGCTCAGCTGAGGGATCGTGTGGAAACAACTGTACAAAACTGATAACGGCACTGTGAAATCAATTTCATAGACTTTGCGGGATTAAGGACGAATGGGTCTAGAGCCAATAGCTACAACTTATCGGAACGCTACCACAAAAACTGATACCTGTTCTGGTGTATTATCTGGACACACCGCGTTGACAGCGACTGGAAGGAGAAGAACGGTAGCACAAGCCAGAATTGAGCTTACAGCCATCACAATGTGGACGTGTTGTCTGGCTACCTGGAAATAGCCGTAGGGTCAGAATAACAATTAGGATGAAGCTTATCTTTTTCGGTAAAATTTTCATTTTGTTAACTACTGCTAGATACTTCTCATACATCCGTACAGTAACCGTTTTGAGAATTTTCTGTCCAACTTGGGTCTTTGTTTTGAGTATTTTCTCAACCTCAACAAACCGTATAAAGCGGCTACTGTGAAATCCAAGAAATCCGCACCAAAATTTTTAGTAACTCCAGTATTGTCGTCAAAGTTAGGATTGCTCAAACTGTATTGATACTCACCATTTGAGCGCATTTCATTGTACCAACTACGTTCACACCACTGGAGACTATTGCGATTGTGTAGGCGATCTGGGACAGACTGGGAGGCTTCAACTGAAGCAACGTACAAAATTAGCTATGAGGGACTTCATGCAATTCAGAGTTTCAGTATCAATACTTGTATGATGGACACAGAAGATAAGCAGCATCTACTCCATGCCGCTCACAGGCGAAGTTGCTAGGCATCGCTGTCGAACTAATGGGAAGAGTTTTAATTGTGGACTTATAGTGAGAGTTTATTCATGGGCGCCCATATTGGATAGATTGACAGAATGGTGTCTCATCGTAGCTGCTTGAAATATATGTACATATGTATATACAGTGTAAGGCGTCACCAGAAACTGTCCCCAGCAAAAATATCGAGTCGGAATGACGAGAACTTTGGAGCCGTAACAGCACAGAGTACTTCAACCATCAATGAAGGGTTCCTCCTCAGGAGTTCCAACGGATCCGTCAACATGGAGCAGCATTATAATTCTACGGACAACTTTTAAAATGACAGGGATAGCAATGCATAGAGATGGGGGCAACAACTAGGACCAACAAAGACAAGGAGACTGGAATAGCGGCATGTAAAGCAACAAAGGCTGGGAGGGTTTTGGCCAGAAAGTACAGTTTCTAAATAAATACTCACAAAAACAAGGGCGAGGAATGCTAGAGCCATGATTCCTTGAGAAGCGGCTGCAAAAAGCACCAAACGCCATTTGTCCGACATACAAGTTGCTCGGTCAGATATCGGTCCAACAATAAACTTTACTATCGCAGAAAGTATGTATGGTAATGCAGTAGTGAAACCTGTACTCGTCACATCGTAATGGAGCACCTGAAAAAGGCAGCAATCTTGATGCAACTGCCTTAGGACGGCATCACGCAAATCTTCTGAAACGTCGCTAGAAGAAGATTCACGAAATGTAACTGGAGCGAGAGTGGAGGTGGTGTATTGACAAGCGGCACACTAAAACACAGAAATGGTCCGCGATCGGAACATGGGTGGAGCTCCCCTGAGCCATCCAAGCCTTTCATCCCTCGGGTTTTCAGCCTTTCATTCCATGTGGGATGATAAAAGCGCTGGCTTATACATCTGCTGGTCACTGCAATTCAGTTTAAACCACACACCATTCAATACACGCTATGACTCTGATGAATGCCGAATTCAGAGCGCATACAAAAACGGGATCGATTAGTGCTGAAAGATTTTTATTCTTCTAAAACAAGTGAACTTGCAGAAAGTCTGGTCGACTGGGATAGCAATCTGGAACTGCAAGCCTCAGATAGCAGAAATTTCGCACTGGGGCTTCCATGTGTATATCTTATGGTTTTAAACTTCGATGGTAAATTTCCGTCTCCTCACAAGACGAGTGAAATTTCCTTGACATCATTATGCATTCTTGTAAAAGATAGTGGGCCATAGGAATTGACTGCAGACTGGTGGCGGGGCTGGAATGTCTTAGAGACTATCGTTTGGCTATCCAACTACGCACGAACTCATCATTCAGGAGGCGCTCGATCTTTCCACTGCTTGTAAGTCCTGTGAACTCTACCGCAAAAGGCTGCAAACGAACCTTATTGATATATGTTGGACCATAAATCAAGAAGACTTGGAAGCCAAGGGTACTACCGAGAGTTGACAGCCAGATGCTGAGGATACAAGAGTCAGTAGCGATTGCCCTAAAATCAGTTTTCATCATCAGATGGAAAGGGTTTGTAAGAAGTAATGAATAGAATTCGGAAAAAACCTGTACGGAGCAGTATGTTTTTCGTGACCTCGCTTTCCTCTTGTGATTTTAGCCAGTTCTGCCGGGCCAACATTTCTTAATTAGGACTTTCGGCTAGAATACTTCTTTAAATTATTTTTATTCTTATGTTTCCATATTTCATACTTCTACACTTGAATTAGGCGGAGGTGTTATAGTGACAAGTGGCACATTTCACACGCGCACAGTCACTGGCTCGAATCCCGGCTCGATATCCGCCTAGGCCAACCAAGCCTTCCATCCCTCCGGGGTCGATTAATTGGTACCAGATTCGTTTTTGAGGATAAAAGCACTGACTTGTACATACATCGGCTGGCCACCGCAAGTTGTGTAGGCCACATACGCGCATTTAATTACGCCACTACGATTCTGATAATGAATGGACGCCCCAAGGCTTTATCCAAGGCGTTCTTTAGACTTTATACTTGAATTATGACTTCTTATTTGTAATCTGTACACCGTTTCAGGAAACTTCAAACATCCGCTCACACGCAATGAGCCAGTCCATTTTTACGAAAATTTAATCATATGGTACCATATTATTCTTTATGACTTATGCCATATGTATGAGAGTTATAGGAAGGTGGGCGAAGGTGGTAGAGCGGTTATAGGCCTCCGTTTCTCCCTCTCTTATCTATGGGACCGATTCCTCTACACGAAATTTTCGTTGGAAAAAAAACTTCGTTACAGCGTAGCCTACGTGAAGATCTGTATGGGAATCTAAAGAGTAAACATATCGAAAAGGGTCTGATGTTGAGATCTCTTCTGTTACTACCTGTACTAATACTGTTTTTCCCCTCCGGTGTATACGCCCTGCAATCATACCACCGGATACTTAGAATTTTTCTTGCATAAAAACTGCTTACCTGTGTTTCCGTGGGTCGTCTCTGTAAAAGAGAAGGAATGCAAGAAAGGCGATTGCTGATAGAGCTCCCTGTAAGACATTTGTTATCAGCTTCTGATCATCCCCCACAACTTTTGACTTTAGGATCGACCAAAAGGGTAATACGCTGATGGGAAATCGTTAATATGAGGTTAGAGAAAACCGTATAAGTGTGGGAAATCAGGAAATATGATAGGTTATTTCGACACGACATCATCTTGGGCAGTTCTTGGTATACCGTACCGTATACCGTATATGCTTGGTACATCTGGCCATCCTAATTTCTTAAAATAGCTTTAGATACTTCCAAAACTAGCCTTTTTTGATGAAAATAAAGCGGAAAAAGTCCGAAACTGTTATGAGTGGGCCTCATATGATCACTGTCATGTACCTGTAGGTAGAATACGGATGGCCATCCAAGCGATGTTTCACATAATGTACCCGACACTGGCATCGTAAAAATAGAGCATAGCTGCAAAACTCGTAGGATGGTATTTTCCTTGCTATTTAACTTTATTCACGATCTTCTACCTGTACGTGACATGAAAGGATGGCGATATATGTGCCGACTGATTTAGTTGTTGACCATTGGGAAGCGATTAGACCAGTCATTGGAAAAGATACTGATGTGCCTATGCCCTAAAAAACAGCTGGTCCTGTAATTTAATGTTATCCGGTCTACTCCTCTCAAAAAGTCCACCACGCACCTCTCATTGACCTTAGAACTTGAAAAGCAATCACCTATATCGCTTATCTTTGAATTGACATAGCAAAAGTGATCAGTACATTTTATGGTGCTTTACAGTACTCTAGAGCCCGCTTCATACCGTATGTTGCAGCTCTACTGTGGTGAACGATTGAGGCTGCAAATGAAGGAAGTGTCTCTACGACAAGTTTCTATTTTATGAGGGTCCTATAGCGATTTCCATGTGATCTTGCAGCAAATTGTCAGAAGAAGAAATCAGGTACGGTACCTTATTGATTAGTGTTTTGGTT